AGGTCCTGAATATCTCATTCAATAGATAGAAAAATGACTCATACATAAAATGCAGAACTGCAACTGAATTAAACAATAAAATAGCACCACTAAGCCACTAAAACCACTAAACTACAAATAAGATATGCACTATCAAAAATGGAAAACACAATTGCACGTACCCAACAAATTCCTAGAGAATAGGATAATAAAAAACAAATAATATAAGACTTATTCAACAAAATAGAAAAGGAAGAGGGTGAAGAATTGAAGATGTAGAAAGAAAGAGAAACAGGGAATGGAGAGAAATGAGATCTGGAGGCTGGTGGAAGAAGATAACTAAGGGCATTAATGTAATTTCAAAATTTTTTATTTTTTAATACTATTTCAATCTAGTCTATGTCATCTAATTTAAAAACTCTTACATAAATTACAAAATATCAATTCACTTATTTAGTTTTCACCTAATATTCAAAATTGAAAAAAAAATTAAATTAATTAATGATAAACTTTACTATGTCAGCATTTAATTGAAGGAAGGATGAAATTGGTATTGAAAATTAAAATTCAATGATAATTTTGATATTTTTTAAAGTTTAACAATAAATATAATATAAATTTAAAAGTTGAGAAACCAAATTGATATTTATATACCAACGAGGGGTTGGATCAAGTGGTAAGCGGCTTGTTCCAGCTTAAGCAAGGTCTCGAGTTCGAGTCCTTGTGTATGCAGCAGCCCCCGTTGGGAGACTCACCCACCATTTCCAGGTGCGCGACGCGGGTCGGGTCCGGATTAGTCGGGGCGAAGCCTCGGATACCGGGCGGGAATTTTTTTTAAAAAAAAATATTGTATTAAATTATACAATTTAAATTATTAAATGAAATTAAAATTTTTGATACTAAAAGTGAGAAAAAAAAATCAAGATGTTCTGACATTAAAAATGTCCTGGCATCTAATTACAACCACTAAACTTGTGGGGTATAGTGTGAGTCCCTAAATTTATCAAATTTATCATTTGATTATTAATAGATATTTTAACAATTTTAATATCAAGACGTACTAATTTTCTCTTTTTCAATTAAAAATTATATTTTATCCAATAATTTTTAACTAACGATAAAAGTTCTAAGACATTTTGCATCACAATAGAAACCTTTGACTAATGCATATTAGCATTGAATTATTTTTTAATTCTACACCAACTTGTACTGGCGAAACAAACTTTTATATTTTACACCATGTAGAATTAATTCATCATAATAACCACCTGTGCTAGCAGTTCTTTCTCACCTTTCTCTCAAATGGAAGATATGAGAGATTCGATTGCAGTGCTATGGATTGTGAGGATGGTTATCAAGTTTCATCCATTATTGATAGTAACCAACCTTATCTTTCGGGTAATACTTTTACATGATTGGATTGAAGAGCAGGTGAGCAATCAATGGAAAACACTCAAGGTGTATTTCCAATCGACAATGAGATCTCTACTGGATCCTATTATTGAGAAGATGAAGAATCTATCGGAAGCCCTCGAGATGCATCTCCACAACGAAGCAACAAAGGGTCAGCTAAAGGCCAAACTAGTCGGTAAACTTGCCATGTTCTCCGTCGTATTTCTTTTACTGAATACAGAGTTAAGTTCAAAATATGATAAAAAAAGGAGTCCAAACGCAATTATTGATGCTTATTGGCCTTAGCCCGTTAACACATCCAAAACATTGGAGTCAATTCAAAATTCTTTGTGGAAGGTGCAGCTGCATGATAAATTCAATATCAAACTTCACCTTCTTTATTATAGCACTTCTTTTTGCAAAATTTTATGATAATACCTTCAAGAGCCTCAGTGCTATGTTGTACATCTCAGTTTTTCCTCTATGTGTACTAGTGGTATTACGACCGCAAACAGACCTTGGGTTGTTTAGTTTTATCATTAGAGTCGTTGGATCTATTACTTACAATTGTTATGGGCTGAAGTTCCCCACATGGATAATTGCTTCCATCTGTTTTGTGTTGTTCAGTTTCAAGAGCTAGTTAGATAAGTACTGGTTGGATTCGGAAGAAGATCCTGGTACAAATACCACAACTAAAAGTGCTAGTGTGTTTTTTATTTTTTTTTCATCAATTGCTTTATGTTTTGCACATAGTGTCTTTATGTCTTCTAAGGTCATATCTCCCCTATCCGACAATAAAAAGTGGTTAGTTAAGGCAATTGGCATTGTGCTTCGAAGTCTCTCTAAGTCCTATCATAATTCCAAAGATAGCTCAATGCCCTTTACAAATACCAAAGGAATCAATGGTTTGATTTTGATGGTTGTAAATATTGCACATGCCATGTTCTGGTTTACTCTTTTCACATCTCCCATGGCCAATTATAAAGATTGGTTATTTGCAGTAATCAGTTATGTCATTTTTTGTTTCTGGTTACGATGCTCTTTTCCCAAAGATATGCTTCCACCCTTTACAAATACCAGAGGAATTAAAGATAAGATTCACATTATTCAATCTGTTGCCAAATATGGTATTGTGGTGTTGGTTGGTTTCAAATCCCGAGTGTACTATAGTGAATGGTTGGTTATGGTTACCTAATATGTGCTTTGGTGGATTCAATTTCGTACATCACTTCCCAAAGATCTATCACTATTGTTCAACGCAATTGAATTTAAAGCTTAGTGGTGGATAGTGATGGTATCATTTTACATTGTTCTAGATGTGTTATCTTTGATTGAACTGTCTAGAACAACATATCATCAACAATTACAAAGATGAAAATGTTAGACACTAGCTTAAATTATAGTAAGTACTTAGATACATGAAAATTTTTATATTCTTGTGTCATCTTCTTTTCAAGTATATGTTTAAATCCAATGTAATTATTATTAAAATCGACCAATCATCTATAATTTTTTAGTCATTTGTCTTTTGTTCATTTGAATTTATTGCTGTTGGTCTTTTTTTATATAGATATCAAAATGGCACACCTTTATTTTATTTTAATTTGAGGAGAATGGTTGTTTTCCATCTAATTTGTACATACTGATAAAATTGGATTTTGTACAACCTATAACTGAGATGGATCTAACTAACCATATAACTCAAGTATTTGCCATATTGCTACCCCATATGATTCATTGTTGTTTCTAGCAATTAATGATCTAACGAAGTTGTAGAATTGTCATAAGCAATGAAAATCTAAAGCAACAATGTCCAGGGATCAAGTTAGACTTGGCAAACGGGCGAGTTGGGTTGGTCAGGTCAAAACAAGTCATTGGTCAAAACGGGTTAGGTTAAAACAAGTCACAAGTCAATCAAAGGCTGACCCTAACTTGCCCATTGCAGGTTGCACGTTGACCCAATTAAAATTTTTTTCTTTTTTTTTCTATAATTTGTACCTATTATCATTCAAAAAATTTTATTCAAAAAATTTAAAAATGAAATTTAATATCTTATAAAAAGAACTTTTTTTCCATTAATTTAATAAAACATATTTCCTTTAAAGAACAGTGCTAATCAAATTAGATAACACCACGCACTGATAAATCTCAATAATGAAAAAAAAAAAAAAAAAA